TATTATTAGTATTAATTAATAATTGAATAATGTACTAAATATTAAATATTATTAAATTATTAACGTTAAATATTTATTATTAATTATTATTATATTATATATTTTAAAAAAATAAAGAAAGCCAAAGAAGTATAACTTCTTACGCGCGTACATTAGTACACGCACCATTTTTTTGTGAATAAATGAAATGACGCATAAGAATTAGAACTTCGCAAGCGCCATGCTTTTTACACCGACTCTATAAATTTTTCGTTTCGATAAATTAATTATCACGCTATGAAAACTATTTTTTTCTAATTCTACGTACAAATCGTCTTTATAAAAATAATTCTACTGTACATGTGTATGTCACTGAACTCCACTAAATCGGCTGGAACGATTTGAATGAATTTTTGTTGTATGCGTTTGGGTGGCGACTGGCGCCCTGGATGGTTTAGATTCACAAATCAGCCCGGCAGATGGCGCTGCAGACTTTCATACTTTGTTTAATATCCTAATCGCTTGAAATATAAATCTTACGGTATGATTCCAAATGAGATTAGGCAAAGCGTGATCCTTATGAAACTGGTAGTAGAATAACGGCCAATTAGCAGTTGATTTGAGTCGTTCCCTGCGTCTGCGCAATACTACTGGACGCGCTTGTATCTCCTTCCGAGGGTCCGTACTGCGAGCCCTTTGGGCCCAGTGCTGTAGAGCCATTGAGGCGTAATGCTGCAAAAACTCTTTGCTAAAGTAAAGGTTACCGTTTAAAAGGTAAGTTTTAACAAAAAGCCAACGGATTTAAATTTTAAAAATATATAGGTTTATAACAAAAATAAATCAGTGGCGCTACAACCTTTTTAGGTCTGGGCCTCAGATTTCATCAGTTTCATGATCATTTTTCAATCTTATAGGCAAGTACACACGCCGTCGACTTTTTAGGTCTAAGGCAAACCGGTTTCCTCACGATGTTTTCCTTCACCGTTCGAGCGAATGTTAAATGTACGTAGAAAGAAAGTCCATTCGTGCACGGCCGGGGATCGAACCTACGACCTCAGGGATGAGAGTCGCACGCTGAAGCCACTAGCCCAACACTGCTCGTCAACGCAAGCTAAAGTCATAATAAATGATAAGAAAATGCCATATTGCCTTATACCGCTTATGATAGAAAACAATGGCATCGGAGACATATACTTGATAGGTTTATAGAGAACTAAATGTAAAGCAATTTGATAAAAAACCTTTTGTACTCCGTACAAAGTATTATAAAATTCAATTGTTTAAGCCATATATTCTGAGGTTTAGTTAGCTTTAGTCTTTTAAGAGTTTCACTAAGCCAGACCGTTTTTTTCCTTAAAATTATGTATTTTGTCCTATGCACTAAAAAACTACTACGCAACTCACCTCCAAATGTTTCTCCACGTACTTAACAGCATCCCAATGTTTGCCCGTCCGTGATTTCGTCACCGCCTGAGCTAATTGTAAGTTATCACGTTCCTGCAATGCTTCCTCTTCTAACACGGCCGCTGGAGGAGCATCAGCCGATTCTAGAAACGCTAGAAGACCTGATGGCTGAAAAAATAATATGCGCTGCAATTTTTTTATCCATTTATATTATATCGAAATGTTTTTCACTTCAATATCTATTAAATAACTTTATTAGGAATCAGTTATTATACATGTATTTCCATGTCAAAATACATATAATACTTTTTACTAAATATTTCAGGTAAATTGATTTTTCTGCTTCAGAATTTAATTGGTGTATTAGGACGGTTATTGCCAGTTATTCTCTAGTTCTACGCCCTTGATTTGAGAACTGGCAGTAAATGTAAAATTAGAAGCATTTAGCATTTAATATGTATTTCTTTATTGACGTTCATAAGTGCACATTGTGTTACCTAAATGAATAAATGATTTTGACTTTGACTTTGGTTATGAAGTACTTTTAGTAAAAGAGTGCAATGGAAATGGAAAGGACACATTATGAGAGAAGGTAAAGATAAATGGACGAAGAAAGTGACCGAATGGCTTCCTCGTTATGAAAAGAAAACGAAGAAGACAAATAAAAAGATGGGAAGATGATGTGGAAGAGAAGTGGCCCTAGTGGCTACGTAAAGTAGAAACAGAGAAGAGTGGAAGTCCTTAGAGGAGGCCTATGTCCAAGGACAAGCGGAAACAGAAATCAACCGCCTTTCAGATTAAATAGATAATTTTAGTGAATTTTTTAGTATTTCTATTTGAGATATATACAGAAAAAAAAAGAAATTACAGAATAAAGGCTTTTATTACTATTATGAAAGTGACGGGTACACCTCTCAAACAATCACTATTTTAATTTTAATTAAAAATTTTTTTGGTTCAGTCAGACAGATGGCAGATGACGGCTTGTATCTGTGGTCAGGATACAAAGTTTTGAGAATATATAAAAAAAATAGATATTTTATATTTTAATTATATTAATGTTAGTCTTATTTTATCTGCACTTGTCACCCTCACCATGATTCTCCTCAACAAATCCGCTGCAGGTGGATGATCAACCAGCCACAGAGCAACCAGATGTCTTGCCAAATGCCTGTGGTGTAGTCTGGCCAAGTTGCCATGCCGCGGTCTGGTCTGGTCGTATAGAGCTGTAAGTAAATGTCTGGGCAGGGCCGCTTCGGCTAACGCCAGGCCTTGAATCCTGGTACCAACCCCACCACTGCCTTCTTCGACTAACGCCCTCGTTACTAGTCCAGCACCTTTCACTATTGCATGAGACGGGTGCTGGAAATAACAGTCCAATAAAAATCTATGATGATATGTTTCATCTAAGTATGGTGAGTATGTGACAGCACCGAATCAAGTTTCCGCCTACCATTTTCATAATAGTTTAAATTACAGTGTAACCTCTATATAACGACACTCAAGAGAATTTGCCTATTTTGACGTTATAAAGAGTTGCAGCTAAATGGAAACAAAAATCTGTATTAGAAAAAGAAAGTTTATTTCAGACTAGTGTTAATAATTAAACAATTCGTATTTGAACGCTATTGCGTAGTTTGTTATTTTTGTACTGTACCAGTAGTTAGGTTGTATTTGTTAACTTATTACTTGGATTTCTTATTTTTGGAAAGTTCGGTACGTATGACCAGTACCGACAGTCGAGTTTATTTCTCGCTAGGACAATAAAGCGACAAAACAACGTACGCAGCTCCGCAGTTTTAACTAATTCGGCAATATAAAAAGTACTTTTTATTATTAAATTGTCGTTATTGAGGGTAGGTGTAATGCTACGTAGAGTGTATCATTGTATGGAAGACAAGCTAAACCAACCAAAGCCGAGAGAAATTACATGGTGTTTACACTGTATTTTAATATTGATTTATAACATTCACTTGTTATTTATGTAACAATATTTTCCTTTAAATTAAATATACTTAAGGGCCAGGAAAATTGCAGGCCGATTCATACGGGCGACACTAGATTTTCCTTACCTCAAAAAGTCTAAATATAACCCGTCCTCTTGTTGCGACCATTTCCAGAAGCTGGTCAAACTGTTTTCCGTCTGTTGTCTCGCTGTATGGCACGCATAACGCGAATGTAAGGAAATCCAACATTGCTCCTACTACAAGGGCGCCACTACCTGCAGTCTGAATTTTCAAAATTATTTTTACGTTATTGGTATAACAATACAGTCAAAACCGTTTACGACGACATCGTTTAGAACAACATAACGGTTATATTGACCAAAACGAAAGGTCCCGGCTGAATTCTATTGTATTAGGTACTTAATAACAACTTCATCGGCTGTTACGACTATCGGTTTTTACGTAGTCCCTTCGATGTCATTATAACAGATTTAGACTGTACTTTTTTTTTAAATTACATTCACATAAAATATTTTTTTACGATTACCAGTAAAAACTAATATAAAACATATACTTACAATATGCTGTGCCCACATAGACAGTAGTCCCTCCAGGAATGGCTGAGAGGACAGCATACTGGCTTTATTCAGCTGTTCCTGTCTCAGATCGGGTTCAGCGTGCATCGGTTGCAAGAGTGCACATACAGCTTCTAAAGCAGCGTGCGAACACGCGGCAGATTCGCGTCTCAATGCGGATACAACAGCACTGCCTATCCATTCGCGAAAACTATAGAAATTATAATACATTTAGAAATCTAAAAGAAAGAAAAATCTTTTGATATGTACCCTCCATTCAGCTGCCTATAAATTCAAACTGATGCTTGTAGTTTGTTAAAATAGATATTTAAGATTTCCTACAATTACCAAGGAAGTTGTTGTTGAAGTTACACGAACACCGTAAAATCAAGAAGGTATGTTACATTTCTCTAAACTATTCTAAATTATTAAATTTACCTTAACTCAAGAAAATAAACGCGATCACAATTCACGCACATAACATATTTCATTTAACGTGTATGAAACAATTTTTCAATTCAATTTACTTTTGGATTTCAAATATTATGAAAATTGGCAGTGAAAAGCAGTGAAAGAAAACGTAGCATTAAATGTATGTATGCAAATGAAAAAACTTTACGTATAACTGAATATTACTACTGATACATTTAAACCATACCCAGGCAACGCTGTAAACGCAGCGAATCCAACTTTGCTAGCGCACAATCGTCTTAGCGCGTGAAACTGTGCTTCCAATTCACGCGGCGTGAGATTAGACCCAGAGGGCGCACTACTAACCAACGCGATCAGTGCACCAGTTATCAACTTTTCTTTGTTCTCCGAAAAGAGACGCTGCCAACAAAAAATTCTAGTTAAATTCAGCCAAGATCACGTGTTTTAGGAAATTTCCTAAAAGAGGGCCAAAGACAAAAGAGACTCATGTGTAGCATATACATTTTGTACTTTAAAAACGTAGATTACGTTTAGCAAAAACTTTATCCTTATACACGAATAGGCTAACTGTAAATTAATTATTTTTGTAATAATTTGGTTTAAATTCTGGCGTTAATATGCTGTATATAAATATTGTAGTCACACCTACATTATGAAATTAATGAAATATAAATAGATTAATGAAGAGAAAAATTATCCTCGGGACTGACATTTATCCGTCCCAAAAAATACAATATAAAACACCACCAGAACCTGTTAATGAGATATTCTTAATACAGTTTTATAAACGTTATATTCTTTGATAACATCATAGATTTCAAAGTTTTACGCTGTACACCGATCAGAGGAAACCAATTTTGAGAAATTTATTATAATAAAAGACATGCCTTGATAATTACAGTGCCACATACTTTTCTTGGCCGGCGGCTGAAATTGGTACTACCGTCGCCATTTTGAAATGTCAGACTGACATTGTTTATTTTCTGTAATTTCTTTGTTGCGTACAATAAATAATTTTACTATCTACTAACATCTAATAAAAAACCAACCAAAATGTATTCATTTTTATTCCTTGCATTATTCATTATAATCGTAAAGTTTTCATTATCGAACGGTTCTGATTGCTAGGTATCTTAATAGATATTATATTAATAGAAAAGGTAACAAAACCTATCAAATGAGTTGTTCCTAAGTTTGTGTCACATTTATTTGAGCCTAGAACTGTATTTTCTAGATATTAGTATACATTGTTTTATTAAGACATTTCAATAAGTTATTAAGTTAGCCTGTATGATTTCAAATTATTCCCCTTATAATGGTTAATTTTTATTTACTGGCAATACTAAAATACATGACAGCGACGCTCTTACCGGCCAAGAAAAGTATGTGACACTGTAGATAGTTATAAGTAGGGTCTCATTGGATATATATATCAGACATACACAAACGTCAAAGGTTAATACGAATATAAAAGATGGTATTATAAACGATATAAAAAATGCATTTTAATAGCCATTCTACCAATACGCAACCAAAAGTTAATTTTGATAAACCTCCTATTAATGATAAAAAATGTATATATACACATGCGTTTATAAAGAGATTCCCAAAAGAAACATAAAACATGAGGGACTTACTAGATCCCAGGTAAGAAACAGCCACAACAGGGGACGAGCCTACAAGGCAACAACACAAAATTAACATGCCCATTGATGATTAAATGATATAAGCTGTGCTCATGATAATCTGTATGCATTGTAAGCCATTAACTACGTACTAGCATTTAAATAACTTATACTCTGATTTTTCATCTATAGAATTCTGACATTGGTAGTCATCAGTATAGTAGTTTTTATCAAAATATAAATAATTGCATTAAATACAAATAACTCGCATTGAACGAAATTCTAAAAGTCAATATTATAAAAAAATCAGGCGCTACAACCTTTTTAGGTGTGGGCCTCGGATTTCTGTATCCGTTTCATGATATTTTGTCAATTAAATAGGCAAGTAGGTGATCAGCCTTCTGTGCCTGATGCACGCCGTCAACTCTTTGGGTCTAAGGCAAGACGTTTTCCTCACGATGTTTTCCTTCACCGTTCGAGCTAATGTTAAATGCGCACATAGAAAGAAAGTCCATTGGTGCAAAGCCGGGGATTAAACCTCCGACCTCAGGGATGAGAGGCGCTGAAGCCACTTGGCCAACACTGCTCTAGTCAATATTATAGTAATATTTAAATTATGAAACACCCATGCTTGTAGGAAATAAGAAATTTTAATTTTGTTTTCTTTCTCCAGTAAAATGTATTTAGAATATTTTTGTAGATTCTTCAGAGTAATCGGTAAGCTTTTTTAATAATAATAATAATTTATTTGCAATATGGTACAAAAATGTTACAGTGGTACAATCTAAAGTTCGCATATTCTGCCACACATAATGGCGTGCAAATTTGTCTTAAAAGGAATTTTACTAAGAAGTTATATACATTATGAGTCATATCAGTGAGTCAATTCTTATATTAATTTCTTGTTTAAGATCAGTTTATACAGACCCACAATCCCACAATTCAATGTTTTTTATCCGTATATTTCTTACATTTTTTGATACTACATGATAAGACGAAATAAAACGTACGACTACCTTGAATATTAACTTAAATAATCATAAATACAACATGCTTCTTGTGAACTCTTTAAATGTTAGTATCAAAAACTAAATATCATATCATTAATAAGCAAAAATGGCAATGAAAAATGTACGCTTTCGTGTGATTTATGTTAATTATATAAAAATGATTCTTACGTCTTGACTGACTGAGTATATGAGGCCGCTGTATCCAATGTTAGAGTTGAAACGTTCAATAACTTCCACTCGTGACATACCCACTGGATTTTGGAAAAGCCTGTAATAATCAGTTTTTTTGGAAATTCAGAATTATTAAATCTAAACGTTTATAAGTAATAAATGTATTTTTAAACCGACCAAAATACCGGAAGTGGTAGGTTTAAAAGTCGACTCGTAGTTTTTATGGTACAGCCTTGCGATTCTGTAACTCACTTTTCGAACTCTCACAGCGGCGGTCGCGCTTAAATCAGTCGTAAAGCAGTCATTTTACGATTTGGCATTCTTATAAGGAGGGAGCTTGAAGTTTATTGTTTATCAGAATGCCAAATGCCGCTGTGAAAACCGCTGTGAGAGTTCGAAAAGTGAGTTACAGAATCGCAAGGCAGTTTATCTTTAGTGGGCATCAATTGAGATCTCAATTCAAACTCTAACTCAAAATAACTTTGTACATATACGTAACCAAGTACACTCATGAACATCAACAGAAAAGATGTTAAATTGATTCTAAATTTACATTTACTACCAGTTCGTAAGTCAAGGGCGTAGAGCGGGAAAGAAGAACTTTAAAGAAACTCTCCGCCTCTCTTTTTAGTAGCCAAGTTTTGAGTCATACAAATTGTTTGTAAGGCAGAGCAGCCATAAATATTTAAACAGGAGCAAATCAATCCCAAGGATTAAGATCATTTAAATATTCGTCAAATTTATAAAAAGCTTTATTGATTAATTTACTTTTAACGAGAGTTTTTAATTTATTCAGTGATAATTCTGTAATTTCCCTTGGGTATTTGCATGTAAGGAGTGGATTATCTTCTGAAGGCTGGTTGATCGTACGCTTAGATTTGTTTTGTTTCGAGTATTATACTAGTAAAAGTCACCATTTGTTTTAAAATCGTTTATATTTTTTTGTACATACAACAAGGCTTCAAGAATTCATCGACCCGGTTATTATTCCTCCGTCGAGAGGTATATATTAATTAATGTGATAGAATTAGCAATTATTCTTTAATACTACTACTCTATCTCCAAATTAATCTTTTAAACCTATAAAATTTAGTACTTACCGCAAATGATTTGACTCTGTTTCCTCATCAACGGGCTGATGTAACGGGCCCAGTCGATAGCCGCGCGGCGTACGCGTCATACGTACGTGTACGTCCCGTTGGCCAGAGCCACGTACACCATCTAGTAGAGACGCTAGCAATGCATCTCTAAGGAAATAAATCTTCTTTATACGCTGCTTCGGTCAGTACGGGCTAACGTCTTTTCATATTTTAGTGTCTCGTTTATCATTTATATCGTAAGTACGACGGTATATGGTCCTTCGAACCGAAAAATACCCTAAGCAAGATGATGGAAAATGTAACGCGGAATTAAAAATAAATTTAATATCATTTGAGATTGCAAAAGTTGTAGTGATGAGTAAAAACTGCGGAAACAGTATATGCACAGTACAGTAAAAAAAAACAGAAATAAGAATCTGAGATGTTATAACTTTTCAGACGTACCTATCTCCTGCAAGATATGTTCTCATTTGTCCGTTTAAATACTCGATTGAAAACTTTTGTGGATGATCAGGGTCTCGAACCAACGCAAATACGTCGCTTAACGGTCGCAAACAAACTACCTGAAAGTTAAAAAAATTAAAATAATTAAGAAAAATTTGGGATCATTAAGGAAAAATAAAACAAAAAGATTGCATATATTTTCTATTTATATTATGCTAATATACTCACAGAATACGTTTGTGGATCTCTTTCCAAAATACAAGTATCAGATAGACACAACGTCCGCCGCATTGGTTCCATATGCCTGGCAGGATTCACTTTATGAACTAAAAATTCACTCAAAGATGTCTGATGTTGGTCGCCACTGAAAAACATTTTTTTTTATTTACTCTATCACTTTTCTAGTGTATTCAATATCTTTAAATAAGATTTTATTTGATTTTCCTTTAGTATGTAAATTATTAAAAACTTTAAAGATCCTAAATCCCAGCATTTAGTGTACACACAAGGATGAAATCATTTAAAAAATTATGCAACAATAGGTGGCCTTATCAATCTGTACCATACCGCCCATATCATGAATAAGTTACAAATACTATAACTTAACTTGTACTACAGTAATACTTGAGGCAGAATTTATTATAATTTTTTTTAAATATATGTTTAGTTTTTGTTGTGATATGTTTTGCAATTTTCATAAATAGTCATCACAAACAAAATTATCCTAAATATTATGTTAATGCTAAACAGAATTTTAATAAGATAAGCTCTATGACTAATAATTGTTGACACCATTTGAATGCCATGTTAATTTGATATAATTTCAGATAATAGATAATTCTTGTTGAAGGATAAATTTTCAAATTACAATACAATTACATTTCTATTATTGATTACATTTCCTATTTTTCTCTTCAGGTACATTATTAAAGTTAAACAAACTAGTGAGACATTTTTGTGTCAAAGTTTATGAATAAGAAACAAACAGTCCTCTAGGTGAATTTTTGTTACATATTCTACATAATTATATGTCGTTACAAATTGTAAACAATACCTATACTTTCCAAATCTCTGATTGTGGCAGTCATCAAGTGTGATCATGGCTGATAGAACTTTAATGCTTATATTGAGTGTAAGATTTGCCATTTCCAACATTTTATTTACAATTCCTTGATGGTCCATTACATTGGAGAACATGTGTAAGCGACTATATCCCCCAAGAGCTATCACAAAACCACCGGGAACATCTTTAACAGGTAGTATTCCTTGGATATCATTGTATGGGTAGCTGGCGAGTAATGTGTGTGTAGAGGGATCCAGTTGTTCTAGAGAGCAGGGTCCTACTTCAAGCACTATAGGTAGACGAGTACCACTCCAATGGTGTTTGTAGGCTTGATATCTCTACAATAAACAGTTACAGCTTAATGAAAAATGGTTTTAAAGTTTTTGTCATATCTAACTTTGTACTATAATATAATTGAATCTAGGTTCTAGAGCATTTTTAAATATAAAATTAATCATAATTAAAACAGTTGACACCACATATAGTAGGAAATAATAGAAAATTACATGGATAATTATTTTATACAACAATGGGGTTAAACTTTATTTTATTAATTGAGAGTGAAGTGAAGTGAACTCTTTTGAAGTGGTTAAGTGTCAAATAATAAGAAGTAAAAATTATAGAAAGACCAAACATACATATACATCCTTTGGTTTTTCAGCAAACTGGTTTCGATATTTAAAAGCTTCTGTTAGAATAAGACATTTATGTTCAGAGGAAAATTTCATGGAATCTATTTTCTTTTCCTTCTTCATAACCAGAGTAAAGTCATGATTGGTGGTAGAGTTAGAATGCTTTGATGAGGAAATTGTCACTACATCAGAATACAACCATTTATTTGTTACTTCTAATCTATCTGGATTATAGGTTGTGATACCATGAGTTCCAATAGAAAACACTCTTTTATACTTCCCCTTCCATGAGTGTTTGGTGACAAGAAATGATGCAACATCTTGATTATCTTTTAATGGAATCATTTTAGCATCTGAAATAAAAATACTTTTGTAATAGCTTGTAATTTAATATGAGAAAATTGATTTCCTGTTAGATTGTATAACACTCCACATTATTGTAATTAGTTTATAATAAAAATACTTTTTAAGATTATGTATAAAATAAGTACTTCAACAGTAAATGAAAACAACTAACTAACTAAATGTAGTTAACATGCTACAACTAATAAGATTTACACAAGGTTTAAAAGAATGTACTTGTATATAATACCAAATAACTATAGATGAGTAATAAATAAATCTTTCTTAAATCTTATTAGATCAAAGATATAATCCTATATTACTTATCCATAAATTAACTTTACTACATTGGTACTTTTGAAACATATCAATTTGGTTGAATCCTCCCCTTTGTAAATAGAAGAATTTAAGACGTGTAAACAATGATTGTTAACAGTTTTTAAATAAAAAACCTAAAGCGACGTTTTTAAAAACTTACATTTCTAGGAGAACCTTTGTTTTTAACTACATTTGACACTTACTTTTACAAAGGTCCACATAATACACAAAACATTTACCAGAATCCAGTAAATTTTTACGATGCAAAATTTTTTAATTTCAGCTTTGCCGACCGTCGACACATTTGACATTTCATTTTCACTATTTTGACAATATATCTTTGTCATAAATAATTTCACGTTGGCATCTCAACAGACAATTGTCACAAACGCGAGCTTTCGAAAACGGCAAATTGCATTTTGGATTGTAGTAGTCTACTACGGAATACTGAATACTCCGGATTATCGTTTTCATTTTTCAAATAAGTTTAAATTGAATTCTTCTTTTTCTGAACTCTTGGCCATAAAATTATTTTAAATAAGATTTGAAGCAATGGTTTTAGACCTAGATCTATTCAGAGCCGATAAAGATGGTGATCCAGATAAAATTCGTGAGAATCAACGCAAGCGGTACAAGGATGTGGCACTCGTGGATACTGTAGTGGAACAAGACACACTTTGGAGAAAGTTGCGTCATGATGCGGATAATTTAAATAAACTGAAAAATGTGTGCAGTAAAGAAATTGGGTTAAAGATGAAAAACAAAGAGCCAGTCGGGCCTGAAGATGATCCTGTTCCATCTGAAGTAGCAGATAACCTTATTAATATTTCTAATGAACAGCTAAAGCCATTGACAGTTAATCAAATTAAGAAGGTAAGTAATTTAATTTATGTATTTTTTTATATTACAAACAGTTTACTTACACAATTATCTCCATATGGTGGTAATTTTACAATGAGGAATATATGAAAATATATATGTAAAATATTAATTTATATTATTTTCAGATATATAATTTTTCTGTTTCTAATTAGGATTATGCTCTCAGGTCCGTGTCCTAATTGACGAAGCTATTACAAAAAATGAACAAAACCTTTTAGCTGCTGAGAAGCTTCGTTCATCTGCCTTAAGGGAGGTTGGTAACCATCTGCATGAATCTGTACCTGTTGATGATGATGAAGATCATAATGCTGTAGAAAGAACCTTTGGTGACTGTACCATGAAGAAAAATTACTCTCATGTTGATCTTATATGCATGATTGATGGTAAGCAATAGGTTCATTTTTATTTTTGTAGATCTAATCTTATGACATTACAATTTAATAATATAAATCTTTATTTACATTCATACAAGACTATTGAACCACTTGTACAAATATTACTTATACAATTATACATGCTTAACAGTTTTGAATATATTCAGTTTGTTTTCGCTTGAAACCCTATGTATATATATATATATATATATAGACACATTTATTATATAAAGCTGGCTTATTTGCTTTATTAAATTTCTAGGTATGGATGGTGAAAGAGGGTCTGCTGTAGCTGGTGGTAGGGGATACTACCTTAAAGGCCCAGCTGTATTTTTAGAGCAAGCTTTAGTACAATTGTCCCTAAGAATTTTATTTCACAAAGGGTACACTCCATTGTATACCCCATTCTTTATGAGAAAAGAGGTAATTATTTATAATCTAAATTTTCCTATTACAATTTTTTGTATATTCATTAATTTAAATAATAAATTTGTAGGTGATGCAAGAAGTAGCTCAACTTGCACAATTTGATGAAGAACTTTACAAAGTAATTGGAAAGGGTTCTGAAAACAAAGGAGACAACAGCATTGATGAGAAGTATTTGATTGCGACATCAGAACAACCAATTGCAGCCTACCACCGGGATGAGTGGCTCCCAGAATCTACATTACCTATTAGGTATTATAAAATATTTCTTATTTACAATAAACATTATTGTGCTTTTCCAATGTGTAATTGGTAAATAATAAATTACATATTATTTATCATGTATGTATATTTAATCCATTGATTATATTTATTTTAGGTATGCTGGTATATCAACATGTTTTAGACAAGAGGCTGGTTCTCATGGACGTGACACACGAGGTATATTCAGAGTTCATCAATTTGAAAAGGTATTTTTCCCTTTCAATCAATTTTCACCAATCCTCCAGCACAATACAAGTCCACAGAAGGTCCCTCTATTTCCACAACTTAGAACATTAATTTTACAATAACTTTATTATTCTTGATTTGCATAAACTAAATTTTTTAACATGAGAATATAGCTTTGAAGTTCAAACTATTAACACATCATTCAAGTTACTCAATAGTGAACTATATTCATGATATTGTGTAGAATAAAACAATGCATTCTTTGTGCTTTCAGATAGAACAGTTTGTCCTGACATCCCCACATGATAACAAATCTTGGGAGATAATGGAGGAAATGATAAGCAATGCTGAGAACTTTTATAAAACACTAGGCATTCCATATAGAGTGGTTAACATAGTGTCTGGGGCACTCAACCATGCAGCTTCTAAAAAGCTGGATTTAGAAGCTTGGTTCCCCGGATCAGGAGCATTTAGAGAGTTAGTTTCCTGCAGTAATTGTTTGGAGTACCAGGCCAGGAGATTGCTTGTTCGGTCAGTTTTATAATTTTATCTACATACATAAGAAATGAGCCATTATTCTGCTTGTACTAAAGAATTAAATCAAACCTGCATTGTTTCTTTGAAAGACCACATCATCTTCTGTGTTAATGTATAATTACAAACTATGCGGTAAAATACTGTTATGTGCTTACACAGAATTATGCAAAACTAATATTTATTTCATTTATTGCTATTAAAGGTATGGTCAAACAAAGAAAATGAATGCAGCAACAGAGTATGTGCACATGCTCAATGCAACAATGTGTGCCACTACACGAGTTATTTGTGCTTTACTTGAAGTACACCAAACTGAGGATGGAATTCAGGTAATGTATCAGTAAAATACTTTGAGGATAAAAGATAAAAGTTGTAAATAACTATTGACAGCTAAATTTGTTTTTCCTTGTTTTAAATAAATCTTGAATTACAAAGTAAATTTAGACTATAGACTCAATTAAAATATAATATTTCAGGTACCAGATGCATTAAAACAATGGATGCCAGAACAGTATCAAGAAATAATACCATTTGTGAAACCAGCGCCTATTGATTTAGAAGCTGCAGCTGCCGCCAAAAAAGGAAAGAAGAAATAAATTCAGAGTCCTTTCTATATCTCAAAAAGCATTTTATTTATTTGGCTAATATAAAAAAAAATTATGTGCCTGTATAAAGAAATAAATTCAGAGTCCTTTCTATATCTCAAAAAGCATTTTATTTATTTGGCTAAGCATATTGTTTTATATTTTATTTAAATAAATTATGTGCCTGTATTATGACTATGAAATAAATGATGCTGCCTTACCTTGACCTTATTCTTGTCAAATACATTCTTCGAGAATAAGCACCTATTTAATTTCTCCATCTAAACACACAAAATGCTTACTACTTAATAAATATCAAAGAATTCTATGTCAAATAGTAGTATTACTATTGTGTTGTTGCAATAATTTAGATCTAAAAAAAAAAAAAAGAGGAGAGAAGGAAGAAGAGGGAAAAAAGAAGGGGAGGGAAAGAAAAAAAAAAAAAACAAAAAGGCAGGGGGGGGGGGGGGGGGGGGGGGGGGGGGGGGGGGGGGGGGGGGGGGCCCCCCCCCCCCCCACCGAGGGGGGAAGAGAGGGGGGGGGGGGGGGGGGCGGGGGGGGGGGGGGGGGGAAAAGGGGGGGGGGAAAGAAAAAAAAGGAGGGGTTGGTCGTACACTCAAATTAGTTCTATTTCGCGTATTATACTGGTGATAAAGATCTGTTAGAACAAATTCGAGATTATTTTAAACATATAGCTGCAATGGTGGCTTGATAATTTTATAAATATAATTGGTTTTTCATATAAATGTCAGCAACACATTCAATATGTGACTTTAATGTAGCACCATCAAAGTAGTTAATGTAGGATAACTACAAAAGCAAACAACAAGCATATTTTTCAGGGCAAAGTGATAAAAAATCTTATATTTTGCCAATTTTATTTAGATAAAACCTTATACCTAGTGATTATAATATGCACATTTACGTATCTAAACAATATATTACAGATTTTTTGAGATTACATATAGACAACTTGTTTTTTTTTTTGTGTTTTTACTATACAATTATTTATTTTCAGACACTGAATTTAGAATATAAATATCAAACATAAAAAAAGCATCAACCACCAAACCTTTTATAATTTGGTGTCTTATAAAAATTTGACAAATAATATTTTTTATTTGCTTTAGTTAATTATTAACATAGTACATACTACATATATGTTTTGGCTTAAACTGCTATAAATAGTATATTTCTGAACTGGGCAAGAACAATGTATAAAATAAAATATTATTTATAAACTCAAATGATATACCCTCTCATTTTGAGGAGTACAGTTCTTAAAAAAGAATTGTTAATTATATATAATATTGAACTAAATGTGTATGATACACTGCACTAGGGGTCTCTACAATGTCTAATGGCAGTTATTCTGTAAGAATAAAAATCAGTAGCCTCTAGTCTGAAATACAAACTTCTTGGTTTGTAAGTTTCTTCAGATCAACCAATTCGAACACAGTTATACTCCTTCTGTACATTGTAGTTATTTAACATCACTGTAATTGCGTAAAAAACTTAAATATGGTAAATACATATACAAATAAAAGCAGTGTGCTCCACAACAATTATGCAGCCTTCTCAGTGTAGTCTTATTGTCTATGTAATACAAAACCTTAATTTATTTAAATTAAACTATCTCTCATGCAATTACATTTAATGATACAAGAAATAAACAACCCTTGATATGTTAGGGTAATTATTAAAAGCTAATTGAAATACATAGCACTAGTTTAGTTTATAACATTTATTTAGTTCAACTAAACAGCAGAACCATTAAAGCAATAATGTGACAATCATAAAATAATTCTACTCAAGTAAATAGCAGTATGATTAAAACTAAACTAACACAAAATACAAGCCCCGCTCCGCTTATCATGTGAGTAATATGGTAGTACAGATAACAAAATATTCAATTAACATTAACAAGCCAATTGTGCCTTTTGCCTGCACTTATGCATTAGGGCCCTCAAAGTAAATTGACGGCGTGCTAGGGTACGCACCTGTTTCAGAAATGTATCTAAATCAATAACTTCTTTTCGTAAGGCCTCTCCCATATAATAAATTGCATCTTCAAGTGTTGCTTCTTCAGCAAATGCATTTAATAGCTGTGAGTACAGTGGTGCTGTAGTAACTACTGCTTCATCAACATCTATACCCTCTTGTCCACCCAGTCTTTCAACGGCTGATTGTAATTCTTTCTCTTTTTCTTGTAACGTTGCTACATTTTTATCTAAATCTGTTCGTTCTCTTTGTAAACGACCAAGTATATCTTCAAGTCTTGTTTTTCCTTCACGTAATTCTTGTTGAGTTCTACGTAATGTTTCAAGTTCAGCTTGTGATTGTTGTGATTGTTCGTTTAGCCTTCTCCTTAGTTTATCTTCCACAGCTGACAGTAGAGATGCCTTAATATGTTCTTCTGTTATTGTACCACCTGCTACATCAGGGCTTGGACCATAGCTAGTAGCTGGAGCAAAATTTGGAGGATAAGGAGTGCCATTCATATTAGCAGGACCTGGGTAAGGAGTGCCAAAATTAGGATATGGTAAGTTAGATGTTGCTGGGTAAGGGCTAGGTGTTGGATATGGAGGTTGGTTAGGAGGTCCTGGAAGCTGAATAGGTGTTGGATATGGAGGTTGCTTAGGAGGTCCTGGAAGCTGAATAGGTGTTTGATATGGAGGTTGCTTAGGAGGTCCTGGAAGCTGACCATATGGGTACCCTGCAGGTTGTGGCATAAATGGCCCAGCAGGGTATGGCGCTCGAACCTCATTTCTTGGTTTGGAGTAAACAGGGGGCAATTCACCAAAAGCAGTAATCATACATTGGACAAGGTTTTGTAGGGTTGACCCATTAGGCTTCCACTCATGCAAATAAGGCAAGTACACCTTGCCATTGCTATCTACGAATTTAGAAACCTTAATGGACATGTCTGGAGTTGGTTTCACGAAACATAAAGGAGCGTTTTGTGGATGAGTGTCCATCAACCAAATGCATACTGGTATATTATAATAAGCGCCTTTGTAATTCACAGGAATAGTACCTTCCAGATTTAGCAAATCCTTTCTTGCTCCATTATTGAATACAAAAGCTTCTAGACGATAAGTCAAGCCACGATATACTTGTATGAGACTTGTAACTTCTTTGGAGGTAAAGTCACGATATTTATATTTTGTAAGAAACCCTTTTAATGCATTTTCTTCGTTAGACATTTTGATGTAATAATAATTACGAATGAGGCAAAGATGAAACTTATTTCAATAGTAATTGTTACCAATTTAATATAACTTGATTTGTCATCATCTCGGTAAAATCACAATTTTCAAGTTGATATATTCACACAAACTAAAATGTCAAAACTGCATATTGACGTTTGACAATACCCATAAACACAATAAAGAGATGAGAATCTATAGGTGTAATATAGACATTCAATGTCATTTGAAAAATTAACAAAAATGAACTAGGGCCAATTGAGAAGAGAATTACAACACAAAAAAGATTTTTTAAGTTTTATTTACTTTTTATTTCTCTGTCTGTATAGATACACTAATGTCCAAAACTACTGAACTTTTTATACCGCGTTTTGCAATTACGCTTATCGTAGGAACAATATACACAAATTTATTTTAAAAAAGGGTGCGTGTACTTAAGAAGTACGCGCGTAACAAGTTATACTAATTCTTTGGCATTATCAAAAATAGTTTTTGATAATTAATTACAATTAAATAATCAAAGTCTGGAAATGGAGTCATTATAGTCAATAATGTTCAGTCTAGTCTAGTATAGTCATATGAAAATTAAATAAATATTTATTATTATTCTCTTACATTAAGTGTAACATAAATTCTATTAAGTTAAAAGTATATATTATTATATATTTAGAACATCTCTAGGTACCAAACACTAAGATGTATGTTGTAGCTTGGCAGTATTGCACAATATAGCCATTGATTCAAAAGAGGAACCTATCTCTGATGATGATGAAGAGACCCTGGCCTCACTACCAACAGTGCCCTCATCTCAAAATACACTGCGTGGAGCAGCAGTGAGAGCCATTTTTATTGATGAAAACTTTTAAGTTTGATAGTTCTTAATTTAGGTTGTTTTAACAATTAAGATATTTAAACAAATTAAACATTTTTATTTCATTATACTAGGTATTTATTTTTAAGTGACTCCAATGTCTTCATCAGAATTTCCATTATTGATATATAGAGTCGTAGAATATTTCTAAAAAGTTGCTGTAACAAACGCAATAAACAAAAGCAATGAATAACCGTTCATGTTTCAGTTTTACTCAACAATAATAGTCGATAATAATAATAAATATTGATAGTTAACCTCAATTGTATTGAAGCACTTAGGAAGGTTGATGAGCACAGTTTTTTCACAAATATTTTCTAATATTGATTAGTATTGATTTAAATATTGAATTTAAATCACTTCGGATTATAATTCATAAAGCATTGCCAAATTTCTTTGAAAAAATAATTAAAACTCCTTTATTTGTTTAAAAGGTAAATGTCATTATGGTCATTCAAAATTCTTGGCATAGCTGCTAACTTCACGCATATTCTATTTCTTTTTACTTGTAGATTGTCTTATTCCCATTTCGCTCGCGCACGCTATAATCACACTGACAACTTTGTGTCTCAGGTGCGCGCGCATCGTAAAAATTCACTCTCATCAATTTTTCATAACGCGCCTAAAGAAGTATAACTTCAAAAAGTATTGTACGTTATTTGAGGTTTATTTTATTTATTTATTTTTTAGCCTTAAATTATTTCCAAATACAAAAATACCTAATTATCGCATGTGTTAGTGAATATCTTTAACAGTTAGTATGTATCAGGAACCCTCTACAACGCTTCGTCAGTTTCTTTTAAACAAGTTTTCACTAACAAAGAGGGTAGTAATCGACTACATCACGAAAACATTAACTTATTAATTAATTAACTACTTAAAGGCCGGCAACGCACTCGCGAGCCCTCTGGCATTGAGATTGTCCATGGGCGGTGGTATCACTTAACATCAGATGAGCCTCCTGCCCATTTGCCCCGTTCTATAAAAAAAAACTACATCAAAATGAACACCAACATTCCCACCGAAAACAGAAATAATAAAGATGCACAACTTAAACTTAAAAATATTTATTCACTCGGAAACATAATCAAAATCTGATTCAAGAAATTCGATGCCTTCGTTTTCATCGTCACGAAGATGAGGAATGGTTAATGTTCCACTTCTGTTATTCTATCTTTTACTTTGTATGTATTTTCAACATTAATCACATGATCAGTACTTTTTTCCAGTCATCAGCAGTCACACTGGCAAAACATTTCGGCAGATGGCACGCCTAGATTCATACTTGCCAAGCTCCAAATCAATTCTTTTCTTCGCTTCGCTCTTTCAATTGCGATCACAATGATATGGCGGCTATTTAATGGCCTCATGTCCATGCTGTTTTAGCAGTTCTTCCACTTCGTACAGTACAAATTTCAATACATTTCCCAAAACTCCAAACCCACTCCCGGGTTTGTTTTCTTTGACAAGCCTCAATGTTTCTCGAGATCCAGTGAATCTAGAATGGGTTCTCGCAGTTCTGCTAACAAAGTTCTGATTGTTTTTCTCAGCATCTATGAGTTCTTTGACTAAGTCTTCGATCTGACGTTTAAAATCTTCATCAAACAAGATGTTTTTTATTTTTTGAAGAGAAACTTCTTTAGGCGCATGAGGGTAAAATTTTTACGGAACGTCACGAAGATGTGCAGCGTTTTTGTCGAAGAACAGGGAGAGAGCGATTGAGAGAGAATGAGAAGCATGAATTACCTTATAGAAATTTCGTTAAGAGAATTTATGAAATATTAGTATTTTATACAAAATAATTGAAATCTCAAATGACTCGACTCCTCGACATTCGATTGATGACAAATTCCGTGTTGGATTTAGAGTTTCGTCGTTACAAATTTGATGATTCTGATTATGCAGGAGGCTTGGGGGACCTTGATTAGAACACCTCCAAGTGATTTTTGCTGCCGAAAATGCGTCTAAGTATTTTAAAAAATATTTAAGTTTTGGGAAATGTATTGCAATTTGTAAACAATCCGCCATTTCCTACTTTTCTATTGGTTATAAGAGAGGAGACGTTCTCGTTAAAAAATCGGTTTTCAATTAATCGATTGTTTTTTAGCATGAAAAATCTATACTTTCGTGTTGATAGATTATAGGGTTCCAAAAATTTTGAAATTATCGATACCTACTCTTTTGTATTTCCTAATTAGTACTTGTATTTCATTGATTGCAACTTTCTGTATTATTTAATTCTTACTAGAATAAAGTGTTTACTTTAATATCCAAAAAGTACCCAAAACCGAATCAGAGCACCCCACTATCCACGTGGTCTTGTCTGCCCTACCCCTAGACAACGGCGGATCCAGGGGGGTCATGGGGGTCATGACCCCCCTGAGCAGGACTTAGGTGGACCACTAATTGAACATAATGATTTTATATATAAATTTGTCACCATACAGATTATATGTAACTACATACCTTCAATATTTAATTAATTTAATATAATATAATAACATCATACATGATGGCAAACGTTTGGGAATGAACGCATCGAAAATTTGAATTTTCCGCGCCACACTTGCGCGCGCTTGTCGCTATGAAACATCTAGCTAGACCTTACCTCAATCGGAATCGGAACGACTAAACTTCAACATATCATAACATAGTCTTATTTTAAATTGTGACATCAATATGTATATAGGAAAATTGGATACACTACCCTGTCACCGAAGCGACAGCAGAAAGGTCTTTCTCTACGTTGCGCAGAATTAAATCTAAGATCTTCAATGGTTGAAGATCGCCTAACCGGACTGGCACTTCTCCACGTTCATGAAAACGTACCCGTTGACGTAAATGACGTAATAACGCGTTTCGGAAAAACAGGCTAAAGAAAAATTGATTTAGTTATTAAAATATATGTATTTTGTCTGTTTCTATTTTGTTTGATGGAATCCCTTGTCGTACCATCTCTTCACTTTTGCGAAGTTTAGCATACTCGACATACTTCTAGCTGTTATGACAAATCATTCACCACGGTTATGTAATATAAATAGGCTGCCTCATTCCGTACGTGATAGTCAGGCCGAGCTAAGCTGTAAAGGCCCTAAAGGCCAACAGCGAGATTCCACTTCAAAAAAAAACGTGATAGTGTTTCTCTGGATGTCTTCAAGAGAAGATGGTAATATGTACGTGTATACAGGTTGGTCCAACTATTGACGTCAATAATTTTTTTTAGATTACTCACACCTGGGGGTATACTAAAATACCCCATGTATGTTCCGCGATTTTTTGTAGTTTTCGAGTTATACATTTTTTTGTGTTTTCTGCCAGCGAGGTTTCAAAAATTCATATCTTTTTTGTTGTAGGTATTTCGCAGTTTTTTTCTGTTAAATGATTGCCTTAAATGATGTTCAAGTAAAAAAATCCCAGCTTCTTAAAATTAGTTAAAGCTACTCAAAAAAGTTTTTAAAGTTAGAAGTTTATTAAGTGGATTTGACCAAACATTCGACTTCAATTTAAAAATACAAAAAGAAGTTTCCATAGCTTCTAGCTAAGTTTAAAAACTCCACAGGGTTCTAAGCTACCAAAATCATAGAAAAAGAATGTTACTACTACTACTAATTGGTCTTTTTTTGTTGTAATCGGTGGATTTCTTCAAGGCTAAAAATCATTGAAGCATTAAAAATGTTTTTTTTCGACTTATTATTCTTATGGTAAATTAAACTTAATAATGTGGTTTTTTAATTAATTTTAATACCCGTAAAATAAATGTAGCTGTAATCGGCCTTTTCATGTCAATAGGCAAAAAATCATTGAAGCATTAAAACTGTTTTTTTTTTTACTTTTATTTTTCTTATGGCAAAACTTTATGATATATTTTTTACTAATTTTAATACCCGTAAAAAAAGTAGCACGTGTAATTCTTACAATAATTTTGGTCTTACCACTCAAAATTCAAAATGTTATTCGAAATGATTATTGCTAGTTGTGAAATTACATGTTTTTTAAATAACAAATAAAAAACACAATTTACTGAAAAAATAGTATTTCTAATATATAAAATTCTCGTGTCGCGGTGTTTCGACACTCGAACTTCGTTCGAACTTCTCCGGAACGGCTTGACCGATTCTCATGAAAT